CTCCCTCCCCACTCCCCGCCCAGCCCCAACACCCCAGAGGCAGCGGGGCTTGTCCTGGGCACGCAGCAGAGACACGTCTCAGCCAGCGCCCCAAACCCCCGGCCGGAGCCCCCGCTCTGGGCCGAGCGGCTGGGGGCAGAGGGTGGGGAGAGCCGGGCCGCTGGGGGCAACGAGGGCTCGGGGAGGGTGAAGCAGGCAGAGCACAAAGAACCAACAACCTCCCATGGGTTGTAGGTAGCAGACGAACTGGTGCCCGTGCCAGGGATGGAAAGACAAGCCCTTGCCCAGCCTGTTGTCACCATGATGGATTTTTGGGATTTAGCTGGGCCAGCTAGGCTTTGCCATGGGGACAGGGCTGGGGAAAGGCAGGAATAAGGCCCCATTTTGATCCCTTCAAGCTTCTGAGCTGAATGTTACCTGTGACCAGTGAGTGCCCAGGAACTTAACCCAGAGCAGGGCTCCTTGGAGAGAACAGAGTAGCCCTTGCCAGTGAGCACTGCAGGGTGTTTGGTGCAGCCCTGCCCATGCTGTCCTGGCTGCAGCCCATGGTGTGTGGCACTTCTCCCCATGATCCTGGGCACAGACCTGGGGACCCAACTGCCCACACATCAGCTTCTAACACCACAAATGCAGCCCCAATGGGCCAGCACCCCTACCCAAAACATGGCCTTGTCACACACCCTTGCCCCAGCCCTTGTCCCCTACCCTGTCACACTTGTGGGGATGCAGGAATAGTCCTTGCTGAAAACAAACAGCACCCCAGGACACGGAGGAGCCAGTACCTTTGTCCCCAGCAATAGCTGCTGTCCCAGAGTTCTACAGCAGGGTGGGGATGGCATCAGAGTGCTGGGCAGACCCTTGTTGTCGTGGGGCTTTGCCCAGGGCCAGAGGCTTCCCAGGGGCCAGAGGCTTCCCAGGGGACAGGAGGTGCTGGAGGGGGCTTCTGCACAGGTTGAGCTTGAGCCCAGTGGGCCAACACAGCCCGTGCTGGAGTAGCCCATGGACTCCCCTTATGGCACAACAGAGCAGCCCCCAACCAGCACTGCTCTGCCTCAGCAGCCTGCGCATGGCCCTGGACCTGCTGCACCCATGGGAAAGGTCCCATCCGGGCACTTGAAGGCAAGGCTTTGGCCCAGCACCATGGCACAATCCCAGCTCTTGGTGCTGGGTCTGCAGTTTTAGCAGGGCTGAACCCCCTTGGGGCAATGTCCCAGGGCTTGTTGTGCAGCTGGGCCTCAAGGAGGGTAAGGAAGCATTTGGCAGGACCCTGGGTGCCAGGTGGGGATCACAGGACTTTGGACCACCTGTGCTGGGCAGGAACAGGGCTTCTGGGGTGTATCCCCTCCCCTAATGGCAGGGGACAGGGACAGATCTGGGCCTGCAAGGAACAGCTGACCTGGGACACCAGGCAGAGCCACAGGCAGCCCAGGGCAGCAAGGGCAGGGCCACGGTGGGCACCTGCCCCATCATCACACAGGGGCAACAGAGACTCTTAATGAGTCACTGCGATGGCAGGAGGGGTTCGTGTCACTTCCCCATGGCTCTGTGTCACCGTGGCAGCAGCACTGCTGCTGTCGTAGCTACCACAGGAATAGGAAGCCTCGTCCTCGGCCTTGGC